TAAAAGAAAATAAATGTTTGGATAAAAACTACTCCATTCGTCGACTGATGTCTTCAAGCTGCAACATAGACACCAAATGAATGATTTAAATGAGAAAAGAAGGATAAGCTGAGGTCTTTCAAAAAGCTATCTACAACATAAGTATTTAACCAATAGCATATTTCATAAAATTGTAAACTCATCAAACAAGACAGTTTAATTGACTTCATGTATCTAAAGCCAGTTTATGTCACCAGAAATCTCCCTGTCGAGGGTCCCATTCTTGTTCGCCACTGGATTAGAAAACACACAACCTTGACTGATCTCCCCACAGATGTTAGGCCCACTGGAGGATTTCTTGTTGTTTTAAAGCTCTAATGGGGTGAAACAGGAGCTACAACTCAGCCACCAGGTGCTTGGTGACAACCCTTCAGACCTGGCTCCTGAAGTATACCTTCAACAGCTGCAACAGGGGCTTTGAAGCAAGCTTCCTCTGTAGGGTGCAAGGCTGTCCTAATGAGACAGGTCAGAACAAAAACTGCTCTTTCCAATCAGTTCCCTCTCTGGGTAGAGACTCTGGAAATATGATATAACCTCTTAGACCTGGGAACACTTTGGGATGTACCAGGAGGAGCTGAAGAGTGTCGCAGAGGAGAAGAAAGTCTGGTTTTTCCTCATTGACCAGTTATCTCTGTGACTCGACCATGAATAAGACGAGGAAAACAGATGTATAGAAGGACGAGTACATTAATTTTATAACATAAGCATACATAATAGATACAAAAATAAGGAATTCCAGTTAAAATTGTGTTCATTAAATATGGTTTGAGAGTTTATTGTTGAAGTGCGCCTGAAGCAAGACAGACTTGTTAGGAGACAGATAACTTGAGTCATGAGTTATCCGTGTAATCCCAGACTAAAACCATACAACTGGTAATGATTATAATGGTGCTGAAAGTACCATTCTATATACTTCTATATATAGAAGTATATATATAGAAGTATATAGTAAGCTCATGGCTAATTGCGATGGTGTAAAAAATACTTAGACCAGTTATCTGAACTGGATCTCACTCGACTTGCGGTAAGAAAACAACCAGAAGTCACATGATGTGAATTTTACAGGAATCCTAAGTACATCAGGTCCTCCTGGCATGTTGGTTTATTAACCACTAATAACAGGATAAATGTAAACTGCTGGTATCCTGAATTTAAACACTTATCCACTCTTTCCAGTTCCTAGGCAAAAAAAAAAACTGTTATTGTACATCTGATACATGATGGGGCTGGGCCATGTTCACAGAACATTATCTGCCTCATCTGTTTGACAAAAACTGACAGACAACATCTGTAATGTGAACTGGATGCTACATTAAACCTCTAATAATCTCTTCTGTTTCTGTCTCTTCTAAACAGACCATCAACACACATCCAGAGATGAAGTCACTTTTATGGAAATGAGGAGGAGAAGCGGGAGGTAGGATGGAGGCAAGAAACCAACAACAGATGAGGTAAAAGTCTAAGTTTCAAGTTACTGTCAGATGTCCGGGAAACTTTACAAACTTGGTGGTTTTTAGGAACCTGAACCATTCAGTAAACTGTGAAATTGTTTATAACATGAACATATGAAGATGTAGGCAATCCTCAAAATCCTCAAAATCTGTACCCATATGATTGTCCTAAAGTAAAAATGTAGTTTCAACATGCACAAGCACGTCTTTGAATCAGTATGAATTGGTTAGTCTTTGCATCCCTAGTCTAGATATTAGACAGCTAGGACTAGCACACAGAATTTGTGTTGACCAATAATAAGTAAGGGTTATTTAGTTACTCTGACTAAAAGCTACTTGATAACACAATACTAAAAATTTTTGCTGCACTTCAACCATGAAGTCAACAGCTACTCAAAATTTTTAGGTTGCATTGGTCAACTACTGTGCACATTTGATGGTCACGATTATACAAGTCAACAGATACTTAAAGCTGCACCCCAAAACCTGACTTTCTTTCCTGAATTATGGAAGCAGGGGCAACAGGATCATCTAAATGAGCTTCCTCTGTAGCGGGGTCAGGCTTAGCCTCCGACTGGAGGTTTTTAGTACAACTGATTGGACTTTGTTCAGTAATTTGTATTAGTTGTATGTAGATACATTTTATAAGTAAATATTCTAGTTTTTTTATTATATGTAGTAAGATTTTCAGCTGGAGAACAATAATGTATATATTGACAAAGGATGTTGGAGATGGAGCTACCAGGCAGAAGGAAAAGAGGAAGATCCAAGAAAGATGCTACAGTACAATACAAATCATCCTATACAGTATAGTAGTATAACAAACAGAATCTAGTCATTAAAATATGTGCTTACTTTCTGAAAATATTAGACATGTTGCTACAAAAATATATGTACAGTATTTACCCCACTTGGAGGTTGAGAAGCACTACATACAGTACACTGGTGCCTGGTTGTGTCTCTTTCCTGTCCCCCAACCAGCCGGTCGAGGCAGATGGTCTCCTGTCCTGAGCCTGGTTCTGCTGGAGGTTTCTTCCTGATTAGCAGGGAGTTTTTCCTCTCCACCGTTTGCTCAGGATGGGAGACTGTGATGAAGTGATTCAACCCAATCTGCTGACTTCTTCTTTAGATTGTCCTGATGCATCTCAGTAATCCAGGTAAAAAATCAAAAGGAAAAAAATTGTATAGGTCTTCTGGACGGGTTCTTCTCTAATGAAAGGTTTCGTCTCTCTTCCAAGAGACTTCTTCACTCTGAGAGTTTCAGGCAAAATTCAGGCTTTTGAGTCCTGCCTCCATGTGACTGATACTCACATCACATGGCTATCGTTCACACCTAATTAATACC